CAGAGAGGATGTTACTCAGGATATGTCTGGTCATGGCAAGGAACACCACCTACAGATTACAGAGTGTATGTTACAAGGATACGTCTGGTCATGGCAAGGAACACCACCTACTAATTTCAAAGATGATGTTACCCGGGATGAGTCGGTTCACAGCAAGGAACACCACCTACAGATTACAGAGAGGGTGTTACCTAGGATATGCCCGGTCATGGCATGGAACACCACCTACAGATTACAGAGAGGGTGTTACTCAGGTTATTTCTGGTCATGGCATGGAACACCACCTACAGATTACAGAGAGGATGTTACCTAGGATATGTCTGGTCATGGCAAGGAACACCACCTACAGATTCAAAGAGGGTGTTACCTAGGATATGTCTGGTCATGGCAAAGAACACCACCTACAGATTACAGAGAGGATGTGAGTGAGTGAGTGAGTGAGTATGGTTTTACGCCGCTTTTAGCAATATTCCAGCAATATCACGGCGGGGGACACCAGAAATGGGCTTCACCCAGAGAGGATGTTACATAGGATATGTCTGGTCATGGCAAAGAACACCACCTACAGATTACAGAGAGGATGTTACCTAGGATATGTCTGGTCATGGCATGGAACACCACCTACAGATTACAGAGAGGGTGTTACCTAGGATATGTCTGGTCATGGCAAGGAACACCACCTACAGATTACAGAGAGGATGTTACCTAGGATACGTCTGGTCATGGCAAGGAACACCATCTACAGATTACAGAGAGGATGTTACCTAGGATATGTCCGGTCTTGGCATGGAACACCACCTACAGATTACAGAGAGGCTGTTACCTAGGATATGTCTGGTCATGGCATGGAAGACCACCTACAGATTACAGAGAGGATGTTACCTAGGATATGTCTGGTCATGGCAAGGAACACCACCTACAGATTACAGAGAGGATGTTACCTAGGATATGTCTGGTCATGGCAAAGAACACCACCTACAGATTACAGAGAGGATGTTACCTAGGATATGTCTGGTCATGGCAAAGAACACCACCCACAGATTACAGAGAGGCTGTTACCTAGGATATGTCTGGTCATGGCATGGAAGACCACCTACAGATTACAGAGAGGATGTTACCTAGGATATGTCTGGTCATGACAAGGAACACCACCTACAGATTACAGAGAGGGTGTTACCTAGGATATGTCTGGTCATGGCAAGGAACACCATCTACAGATTACAGAGAGGATGTTACCTAGGATATGTCCGGTCTTGGCATGGAACACCACCTACAGATTACAGAGAGGCTGTTACCTAGGATATGTCTGGTCATGGCATGGAACACCACCTACAGATTACAGAGAGGATGTTACTCAGGATATGTCTGGTCATGGCAAGGAACACCACCTACAGATTACAGAGTGTATGTTACTCAGGATACGTCTGGTCATGGCAAGGAACACCACCTACAGATTACAGAGAGGATGTTACCTAGGATACGTCTGGTCATGGCATGGAACACCACCTACAGATTACAGAGAGGGTGTTACCTAGGATATGTCTGGTCATGGCAAGGAACACCACCTACAGATTACAGAGAGGATGATACCTAGGATACGTCTGGTCATGGCAAGGAACACCATCTACAGATTACAGAGAGGATGTTACCTAGGATATGTCCGGTCTTGGCATGGAACACCACCTACAGATTACAGAGAGGCTGTTACCTAGGATATGTCTGGTCATGGCATGGAACACCACCTACAGATTACAGAGAGGATGTTACCTAGGATGTCTGGTCATGGCAAGGAACATCACCTACAGATTACAGAGAGGATGTTACTCAGGATATGTCTGGTCATGGCAAGGAACACCACCTACAGATTACAGAGTGTATGTTACTAGGATACGTCTGGTCATGGCAAGGAACACCACCTACTAATTTCAAAGATGATGTTACCCGGGATGAGTCCGTTCACAGCAAAGAACACCACCTACAGATTACAGAGAGGGTGTTACCTACGAAATGTCTGGTCATGGCAAGGAACACCACCTACAGATTACAGAGAGGGTGTTACCTAGGATATGCCCGGTCATGGCATGGAACACCACCTACAGATTACAGAGAGGGTGTTACTCAGGATATGTCTGGTCATGGCATGGAACACCACCTACAGATTACAGAGAGGATGTTACCTAGGATATGTCTGGTCATGGCAAGGAACACCACCTACAGATTCAAAGAGGGTGTTACCTAGGATATGTCTGGTCATGGCAAAGAACACCACCTACAGATTACAGAGAGGGTGTTACCTAGGATATGTCTGGTCATGGCAAGGAACACCATCTACAGATTAAAGAGAGGATGTTACCTAGGATATGTCCGGTCTTGGCATGGAACACCACCTACAGATTACAGAGAGGCTGTTACCTAGGATATGTCTGGTCATGGCATGGAACACCACCTACAGATTACAGAGAGGATGTTACTCAGGATATGTCTGGTCATGGCAAGGAACACCACCTACAGATTACAGAGTCTATGTTACTCAGGATACGTCTGGTCATGGCAAGGAACACCACCTACTAATTTCAAAGATGATGTTACCCGGGATGAGTCCGTTCACAGCAAAGAACACCACCTACAGATTACAGAGAGGGTGTTACCTACGAAATGTCTGGTCATGGCAAGGAACACCACCTACAGATTACAGAGAGGGTGTTACCTAGGATATGTCTGGTCATGGCAAGGAACACCACCTACAGATTACAGAGAGGGTGTTACCTAGGATATGTCTGGTCATGGCAAGGAACACCACCTACAGATTACAGAGAGGGTGTTACCTAGGATATGTCTGGTCATGGCAAAGAACACCACCTAAAGATTACAGAGAGGGTGTTACCAAGGATATGTTTGGTCATGGCAAAGAACACCACCTAAAGATTACAGAGAGGATGTTACCTAGGATATGTCTGGTCATGGCAAAGAACACCACCTACAGATTACAGAGAGGGTGTTACCTAGGATATGTCTGGTCATGGCAAGGAACACCACCTACAGATTACAGAGAGGATGTTACCTAGGATATGTCTGGTCATGGCAAGGAACACCATCTACAGATTACAGAGAGGATGTTACCTAGGATATGTCCGGTCATGGCATGGAACACCACCTGCAGATTACAGAGAGGGTGTTACCTAGGATATGTCTGGTCATGGCAAGGAACACCACCTACAGATTACAGAGAGGATGTTACCTAGGATATGTCTGGTCATGGCAAGGAACACCACCTAAAGATTCAAAGAGGGTGTTACCTAGGATATGTCTGGTCATGGAAAAGAACACCACCTAAAGATTACAGAGAGGCTGTTACCTAGGATATGTCTGGTCATGGCATGGAACACCACCTACAGATTACAGAGAGGATGTTACCTAGGATATGTCTGGTCATGGCAAGGAACACCACCTACAGATTACAGAGAGGATGTTACCTAGGATACGTCTGGTCATGGCAAGGAACACCATCTACAGATTACAGAGAGGATGTTACCTAGGATATGTTTGGTCTTGGCATGGAACACCACCTACAGATTACAGAGAGGCTGTTACCTAGGATATTTCTGGTCATGGCAAGGAACACCACCTACAGATTACAGAGAGGATGTTACCTAGGATATGTCTGGTCATGGCAAGGAACACCACCTACAGATTACAGAGAGGGTGTTACCTAGGATATGTCTGGTCATGGCAAAGAACACCACCTACAGATTACAGAGAGGATGATACCTAGGATACGTCTGGTCATGGCAAGGAACACCATCTACAGATTACAGAGAGGATGTTACCTAGGATATGTCCGGTCATGGCATGGAACACCACCTACAGATTACAGAGAGGATGTTACCTAGGATATGTCTGGTCATGGCAAAGAACACCACCTACAGATTACAGAGAGGATGTTACCTAGGATATGTCTGGTCATAGCAAAGAACACCACCTAAAGATTTCAGAGAGGATGTTACCTAGGATATGTCTGGTCATGGCAAGGAACACTGCCTACAGATTACAGTGAGGGTGTTATCTAGGATATGTCCGGTCACAGCGAAGAACACCACCTACAGATTACAGAGAGGATGTTACCTAGGATATGTTTGGTCATGGCAAGGAACACCACCTACAGATTACAGAGAGGGTGTTACCTAGGATATGTCTGGTCATGGCAAAGAACACCACCTACAGATTACAAAGAGGATGTTACCTAGGATATGTCTGGTCATGGCAAGGAACACCACCTACAGATTACAGAGAGGATGTTACCTAGGATATGTCTGGTCATGGCATGGAACACCACCTACAGATTACAGAGAGGATGTTACCTAGGATATGTCTGGTCATGGTATGGAACACCACCTGCAGATTACAGAGACGATGTTACTAGGATATGTCTGGTCATGGCATGGAACACCACCTACAGATTACAGAGAGGATGTTACCTAGGATACGTCTGGTCATGGCAAGGAACACCACCTACAGATTACAATGAGGATGTTACCGAGGATACGTCTGGTCATGGCAAGGAACACCACCTACAGATTACAGAGAGTATGTTACTCAGGATATGTCTGGTCATGGCAAGGAACACCCAGAGATTACAGTGTTTGAGTGAGTTGGGTTTAATGCTGCTTTTAACAGTATTCCAGTTATCTCACGGCGTGTCAGGCTTAATGTGGGAGGAAAGCCCGAAGTGATGCAGGTCTAAGACGTTTACCACTTCGGTTAAACCCACGAGCACGGGTATGGTGCTGACAAACCTAGAAACATAATCGGGGCGAACCGGGATTCGAACCCACAATCATAGGTTTCTGGCGTGCCCAAGGGACCCAACTCTGCACAGCGAAATGCGGCGCCTTAGACGACTGGGCCAACCATGCCCCCTACAGATTACAGAGAGGATGTTACCTAGTATATGTCTTGTCATGGTGAGGAACACCAACTACAGATTACAGAGAGGGTGTTACCTAAGATGAGTCCAGTCATTGTGCTAAGGTAGCCAGTGCCACTGCCCAGGTTAAGGAAGGAGAGGCCCTCCTTCACCTGCAGTGACTCCAGGACCTCCGAGTAGATGCACGGTGCAGACAGGTGCAGGTGGCCATGTTTCCATGCCAGGTCCTTGTATGCGCTGTCTCTGTGCCCATCAACGTAGTAATCGGCTCTGTCAACAGCACGGAACACTTTCTCCACGAGGGGACTCTTGATGTAGTCGGCTTCCACCAGGTTGTCAACCAGTTCATTGTTATCAGCGCCAGTACTGACGGCGCCACCCATGCTGATTGTCACGGATGAATGTAGGTGACTGATCTGCTAGACTGTCACATTTAACTGAAACTGATCAGAAAGAACTGCTCACATAGCTGTACCTGATCAGCTCTATGTAAAACTCAAAATACACCACACATGGCTGTAAACATGATAAATACTCACACTTTTAAATTTATTACATTCATACAAAAAAAGCCACTATTGTATATCAACCAGAAAATGAGCATACATTGATGTCCTTTATTGAACCAGGGTTTTATGTGATGCACAAATGTGCGTCCAGTATGCACAAATGTTAAGATGGGGCGCAGAAAAGAAAATACTGTGTACCAAAGGGACGCACAATAATATTCACTGTACCTACATTGCATCAAGAGCAATTATGGGTTTCTGTCATTTCATCCATCAATCATGACCACTGTCCACATGATTATTGATTAATTCCAGGCCCTAAAGTAATTACCAAAAGAAGACAGTCCACTACACCATTGCATTACTTTACAGGACCCTCATATTGCCTGGAAAAGGACCCTTAAAATTAAATATCGGGGGTCCCCTGGACAGCCAATTTTGTTAGTCAAGATAAAGCCCTGTAAACATGGACATTCTTCTCAAAAACACCATCATGACACCTGCTCTTCATTTTGTGAACATTAATCGAAGCTTCTGCTAGTGTTTGCCAACTGAACCAGAATTACTTACTATAGTTTACCATAATTTGCTGAGCCAAAATAAAACTGATTTTTAGAAAATTTGTACTAACAGCAAAGAATATATTCAAAACAATATCAAAACCAAACACATAAAATAGGAAATGACATTTTAGTTCCTGCCATCCTTGACAAAGTTGCATGGTTGCAAAGTACAGAAGAATATGTATCTTAAATGCCATACAAAAAATCATTAAACCCAGCCAACTTTATTTATTTAAAGTTAAAAAATAAAAACAATCACTTATATTGAGTAGAAATAAAACATGTTTTTGACATTATTCATTAACCTTTTTGCGATCACTCCACACAAAGATCACCCGATCCCGTTAGTCGTGTCTTACGACAAACAGTTCCTTTTTTACAGCAAGCATGGGTTGCAGAAGACCTATTCTACCCCAGATCTTCACGGGTTGTTGACAGATGTGATTTTGCAAATTCTTTTACATCTGTAGGACAAAGATATTACCAAGTCCAATTTGAACAGTTAAGAACCCAACAGTAGCCCTGGTAATCCAGACTGTTTCAGTGAAACTGTCTGGATTACCAAATTTCAAGATCAAAGAATTATAGGTATGTATGGTGGCCATTCCCAAAAGTAATCGCCTGTCAGTTTCCAGTTTTTATCCCTCAGACCAATGTATCTGGAAGTGAATTTCTATATCTAGTAGTAATACTAAGAAACCTGAGGGGGTGAGGGGAAGAGAATATTAAGTTAATTACTCAAAGCGAATGGTGTCAATGTTATAGGGCTGGGACGGGTAACTCAGGTCTGGTGTGTCCTGAGTAGGATCCGGGTACCCACTCGACTACCCAGACCTGTGGTTAGTCATGTGATATAATGTTTAAATACAATAACAATAAAAGTTGCTTATGTTTGTGTCTCTTTATGACTATGCAAGCATTGTTTCTGACTTTAGTATGTTTGAGAAAAAAAGTCGACTTTAATGTATGCACAATCTGATTGTTTTGAATGTGTCTGTAAATAGTATTTGCTAGGGCTCCAGTAAAACAATTCCCAATCGGACGTTATGTACCCAACTCTTGAGACCTGCAGTAGGTACCCGGGTAGGGTCAGCCCTACTATGTTATCAACTATCAAACTTTAGTATGCAAGGACTTTGGTGATCCCCAAAATGTTTATGAATTTTCTTGCCACCAATGAAATGCCTACAGTTGATTCTTTGAATATTCCTTTGGTTCCAGGAATAAGGTTGTTTGACTATCATCACATATACAACTAGTATTACTGTTCCTTGAAAATAATTGTCTGCTATTATGTTTGTTTGTTAGATGACATGCATCAACCAAGTCAGCAAGCCTGACCACCCGATCCCGTTAGTCACCTCTTACAACAAGCAAGGGTATCTGAAGACATATTCTAACCCGGATCTTTACAGGTGGTCTGCTATCGTGAAATTATTAGTTTCAAAACATGTGAAGTAGAGCAGCTTCAAAAATTTAATTCATACAAAAAATTAAATTCTGAATGAAGCATATATTTATCTGAATCAATTTCTGTGAAATCAAAGTATTTCTAAAATTTCCATTGCATTAACAGCATGGCTAACTCAAGTCCCATTGATGAACTAACCCCTACAGTTAGTTAAGTTGATAGTCAAAAACAACTTCCAACAACTAGTAAAATCCTTCTTTTGCTAAAATACATTCATTATTTTGGTGAGGAAAGGATTCAGTTGCAACTGACAAAAACATATTGACATATATGACAATGTCAAGGTGAGTCATCATGGTCATGCAAATCTTTTTTTTTTCAGAAATACAAAGAAAATCAGTTAATTGCAGAAGTGAACATTTTACAATTTCTGATGATACAGCTGTTGACTTAAGCTCCTATTGTTTTAAGATCCATACAAAACTGTTGGTAAAATATGTTCCTTGTGACAGACCCATTCACACAACTCATGCCCATCATGTCTGCAGACAGGAAGCCAAGTCCTGTCAAATCTATACTTGGCTTGCAAAAGTGCATACAAAGGCTAACTGCAATGCTGAACCTAACAAATATGCACTTAAAAAAGTAGAGCAGTCATTTCAAGTTAACAAGTCAGTTTTGTCCGCGACATTTTGTACTGTCTGAACAAGGACAAAACCAATATTTGTTTTTCTAATGTAGGCCTAATTTCCCTGTGTCTTTGTGGACGCGACTGACAGACATTTAAATAATTTGATTGTGAACATATTGGAACAAACTAGTTATCGTCTTGCGACAGAGTTACTTGACTGTTTCTGCTTCCTGTCCATTAAACGAGTCAATTGCGATCTAGCGTGCAGCCTTCGCCCGACTCATGTCTGACAGTCGATGAAATCTCGTTCTATCGTCTGAGCAGCGAGCGAGCGACGTACACTTCTCTCATGGCAGACACTAGACCCCCGTCAACATTTGACTAAACGCAACCTTTCTTTTGCTGCGATATATACATCTGTACGAGGCAGACGTATAAGACGAGAGTGTTACGGCATGTTTAGCCAGGTTACCTTCTTTTCCCCTTGTACTTCAGCTGCTCGACCAAAACAACAACAACACTGACGTCACGCATAAACAGGGCAGCATCCTGGGAAAAGGAAAGGATTTTTCTTTTGAGGTTGACGACATGTGCTATATTGCATTTCATGCTGTGTTATCATATGATAACATAACCTCATCGTCAACTAATTTTATTTTTATTGCCATTTATGCCAGAATTAACAAGTAACTTTCACAAGAACATGGTCACGGTTGCAGCAGTTGTCTCCCCTAGCTTCGTGATTTAGCTTCGCGGACGGCAACAGGTGCACGTAGGAAATTAGCCCTTGATTATCCAAGCCGACCAATCATCTTGTTGGCTGTTCCGTTCAACTCCCTCGCAATTTTGATCCTGTTAAATGGCGTTTGGGAAAGTCAAGGAAGGGTAGGAAAATTTTGTTTTTCTCGGAGTAAATGAATTATACGGAAAAGACACGCATTTCCAAATTTAGAAAACTACTTGTTCTAAACTTTTGTCGTGTTTGGATGGTTTTATTCCATCAAAATATTCACATTTACGCTGTTTCCATATCTTACTGTGATAAGTTTATCCACAGGTTTGCGCACATAGGGATGGATCGTATAGTGAGTTTTAAGGAAAAAATAATGTTTATCACATTTCTGAAAGAGTGAAAGTGAGGAAAGGTGTTCCTCCAAGTCATTGTGAGACAATTCAAGGATAGACAAGAAGGTGTCAGTTTGTTTAGATTAATTTTATTTAGATCAGAGCACTGCAAAGTCAGTTTTTGCCGACGCATAATGTTGTTATCCAAAACGAGGCTGCAAAACCCTATCTCTCTTGTAAGGAATATTCCTGCAATTTAAATTGGTATAAAAATATAATCTTCTCAAGTTACTGCTTGAAACACTGCAAGGCTTAAAAAGCAACTTTTGTCTGTAGTTTTGATACAGATTTTGATGTTTATTAAAGTAATTTTCGCAACTTTCGCATTGCGGGTATATTTCCGCCATTGCCGTGCTCGTTATGTCACATGTCCTGTCGTCACACACGGTATGAGTTTCACAGATGGATGAGGCGCTTTTCTCAACATCCACATCAACTCCATCGGACATGCATGCTTTCTGTGATTTATGTCATTCATTGTTGTACAATCAGACGGAAAGGAAATTGCAGTTGTAAAAGCTACAATTTGCCTGTGATAACTTTAGTATTAGTTAACACTGGAGAATTCTTTGTAGGACATTGTTAATAATGTGTATATTTTTTGCTGAGGCATAGAAGTATAGAAGAAAACTGTTTGCTTATTAAATGCCTTTGCAGAAGGATTTTTTTAGTAAGCTTGTTTCGATATATGTGGCGTGTAATAAATATTTTATGTGGGCAATTTTATTGCATTATAAAGATACATGCTCTAAGTAAATCATTTGATCATTATTAGAAAAAGTAGGCACATCAAACTAACCAATTTGAAACTAAATGATTTTTAAAAATAAATTTCAATTTTGTAAATTAAGTTCTGTTTTGTTTTAAAAAACAAACAAAATTTGGGATTAATAATCTCAATGGGATCCTCTTATTTTACAGAACTAACTGAAACCTATAATTAATGTTTACTTACATAAAATTTGTATATATATTAACCTAAATTGTTGTCTCTCTTACATCTGTGTTAGTATGAACTGTACATACTAATTTCTGATCATCTGACAAGATTAGCTTGAATAGTGCTATATTCCAACATGAATCAATGTTGTTTTACATTATAATCAGGAAGATTCCATCTGTATTTGTGGCAGATAGAGCTTGGTTTAGGCTGACCAGTGGTTGACTGCATGAGCAACAAGTATGTTTAATTCACAGGTACTGTAGCATCACATATAATGCAATAATGTAGAAGTAAGTGTTAAAGCCTTTTGTCCTTTTCAGTCATGTTATTAGTGTCATACAACCATTGCAGGAATATAGGTCCTAAACAACCTTTGCTTGCCGAATAGTGGTGGTCAGGCTGTATGAGGTGGCTGAATGTCATCGTGTCTCAATTGCATGAATTGATACTCTGATGTCAATCACTAGATTGTCTGGTCCCAACTTGATTTTTTGCAGACCACTTTCAATTATGGCTGCTGAATGCAGCCTTGAGCAACTAAAAATATCTTCAGCAACCCATGTTTGTTGAAAGAGGCGAAATGCTTGTCGTAAGAGGAGGCTAAAATAAATAACGGGATTGGGTGGATGCCGATTAGTTGATGCATGTCATCGTAACACAATTTACCATCCCAAACTGGTTCCTACAGGAGATATCGCTTGGGTGAGATCAAGAGATATCTACATTGTAGACATGGTAGATATCGCTTTTACAAATCACTGATTTTTTCCCCCGCATATTTCGATTTAAGAATAATGAATGATTAATAAAATCTCACCCTCATGTCTTTTGATGTCAGATATATCAGCACTTGTTGATTAAAGTGGAAAAACTCCACTTTTATCAACTGGTGTTAATATATCTGATATCAAAAGACACAAGGGTGAGATTCTGTGTTTGCGTGGATGGATGATCATGATATCAATCACTGGATTGTTTGGTCTCGACTCAATTGTTTGCAGACCACTGTCAAGTAGCTGGAATATTGCTGAGTGCTACGTTAAACAACAAACAAACAAACACCTGTCATACAAATCACCATTGCATGGATTTACCTGCGTGTTTCTATTCGCCAGTCCTGGTCAAGCTACCATGGCTACAGCTGAATTGGTTTTATTGATTCAAACACTCCCATGGGATGTGCAGGACAGAATTATGTGCATCCATTCTCAGTTTCTATGTAAGGAGGATGAAATATTTTTCATCTGTTCAAGCCTTGCCATTGTAAAGCTGATAACATTTTATCTCAGCAGGTTTGTTGAAAATGCTGAAAATCCACTGTTGGATAATTTGTTTGCTATGTCCTGCAAGCCTAAATATGCAGTTTGACTTGTTGGTTCAAGGCCAGTTAAAAAATGTAATGTGTCAGAAGATAGGATTGTATTGTTTTGATTCATTTCTTTAATGGCTTACAAATCTATCAGTGTAAGTTAATAGTAATCCACCACATTTCATCAATTGGCCACACCCCCTAAGGCTTGTAGTTTGGAGAGACAGCCACATGGCTCATTGTGTCAGTGAGTGAAGATTGGGTGGCCACAATGTATCCCCATGACTCATTGTGTCAGTGAGTGAAGATTAGGTGGCCTCAATGTATCCCCATGATCTGTTGTGTCAGTGAGTGAAGATTGGGTCGCCACAATGTATCCCCATTGCTCATTGTGTCAGTGAGTGAAGATTGGGTGGCCTCAATGTATCCCCATGACTCATTGTGTCAGTGAAGATTGGGTGGCCACAATGTATCCCCATGACTCATTGTGTCAGTGAGTGAAGATTGGGTGGCCACAATGTATCCCCATGACTCATTGTGTCAGTGAGTGAAGATTGGGTGGCCACAATGTATCCCCATGGCTCATTGTGTCAGTGAGTGAAGATTGGGTGGCCACAATGTATCCCCATGACTCATTGTGTCAGTGAGTGAAGATTGGGTGGCCACAATGTATCCCCATGGCTCATTGTGTCAGTGAGTGAAGATTGGGTGGCCACAATGTATCCCCATGGCTCATTGTGTCAGTGAGTGAAGATTGGGTCGCCACAATGTATCCCCATTGCTCATTGTGTCAGTGAGTGAAGATTGGGTGGCCACAATGTATCCCCATGGCTCATTGTGTCAGTGAGTGAAGATTGGGTGGCCACAATGTATCCCCATTGCTCATTGTGTCAGTGAGTGAAGATTGGGTGGCCTCAATGTATCCCCATGACTCATTGTGTCAGTGAAGATTGGGTGGCCACAATGTATCCCTATGACTCATTGTGTCAGTGAGTGAAGATTGGGTGGCCACAATGTATCCCCATGACTCATTGTGTCAGTGAAGATTGGGTGGCCACAATGTATCCCTATGACTCATTGTGTCAGTGAGTGAAGATTGGGTGGCCACAATGTATCCCCATGGCTCATTGTGTCAGTGAGTGAAGATTGGGTCGCCACAATGTATCCCCATAGCTCATTGTGTCAGTGAAGATTGGGTGGCCACAATGTATCCCCATGGCTCATTGTGTCAGTGAGTGAAGATTGGGTGGCCACAATGTATCCCCATGGCTCATTGTGTCAGTGAGTGAAGATTGGGTGGCCACAATGTATCCCCATGACTCATTGTGTCAGTGAGTGAAGATTGGGTGGCCACAATGTATCCCCATGGCTCATTGTGTCAGTGAGTGAAGATTGGGTGGCCACAATGTATCCCCATGGCTCAGGAATAGAAATGAATGTTTTCTCAAGTGTGGCACATGGCACTCATACACATGTTTTGGTGTTCCCTTTGAAATTAAAGTCTGCAACTAGAAGAACACCTTGATCTGTCTTCGGGGTCGATGAATGTCTTCAAACGAAGGGTAGAACATTTGAGACTGTACAACTCCCCTGATAATAAGTTCATTTTTAATAATTAATGCCCGTACATTTTCAAATCCATCCATCAAATCTTGCTCTCAAAGGTAGCTTTCAGGAAATTTAAGGTCATTCTGCTTCTGAATCGGTTATTTACATTCTGCTTGTTTTTATCATTACTTTATGGGCATTTTGTACAAGATAAATCAATTGAAAGATATATGTTCAGGGAAAATTAATAGATGTATTGTATGTATATCTGGTTTATCAAGAACTTGTAAAATAATTGCAACAGCTTTTGAAATAAATGCCTTATTGAGTTGACTGAAAGGTAAGTTCTGATGTAAAATGATTGGAAAGTGATACTTATTATTGAAGGTCTACTTACAAAAGTGTACTTATTTATTGAGAAAATGGTATGAAATTAAACTTCAGGACACTATTGTGGTGTGTGCGATCATTTAACAAAATTCCCTTCATCAAATATCACAAATCTACAGCTGATGGACTGGTAATGCAATATCAGTTTGCTGTGTGACCTGGCCTTAACCATTGTTAACTCTGCCCTAGATAATTATGCGACTTGACCTCAACTTGCACTCTACCCCCTACCCTCTCCAACCTCACTTGCTTATGACCGAGCCACTGTGACTAACAAGGTGTTATGCAAATGTTTGTTTGTTTGTTGTTTAATGCCGCACTCAACAATATTCCAGCTACTTGACAGTGGTCTGCAAACAATTGAGTCGAGACCAAACAATCCAGTGATTGATATCATGATCATCCATCCACGCAAACACAGAATCTCACCCTTGTGTCTTTTGATATCAGATATATTAACACCAGTTGATAAAAGTGGAGTTTTTCCACTTTTATCAACGAGTGCTGATATATCTGACATCAAAAGACATGAGGGTGAGATTTTATTTATCATTCATTATTCTTAAATCG